ACTCGTTTGCTCAGGCAATTGTAGTGGCTGGATTCTGTGTGGCACTGGCGGTATGGGGCGTGGCAGGATGTCGTCATCGTGCTCGTCCTCGTCCCCGTTCTCGTCCTCGTCCTCGTTCTGATTCAAGCTCGAACTCAACTCAGCTGAACCGTTTTAATTGCTGCATAAATATTAGCTTAAAATTAGCTCATTGTTCGTCCGTCGGGCTTAAGCGGAGGAAGTCTCCCCTTTTGTGTGGTTGGCTCTCTCCTTCCCTCTGTGTCTTTCTGCCCCCGTCTCTGTCTCTCTCTCTTCTGTGGCAGGCTGCATTCGTGCATAGTCAATTACCACATGCGAGTATTTGTGCATACTTATACGTTGGGGGCTGCGAGTACGAGTGTGTATATCCAACCCACGGAGATTTGTCCCGCTATTGGGGAAAAGCTTTAAGCAAATAAGCAATCAATTCTGCTGGATTTCGTCTGCGAAGTTTTCAGTTATTCAATTGCAACTTTTACCCGCATTCCCCTCTCTCCCACTGTGTGTGTGTGCATTTCTGAAGTTCTACTTCTGTTGCTGCCACAGTTGAATACCTCTGCTGTATGCTCGATTTTTACGTTATTTATTTATGGCCACACGCCCCGCACCTTCCCTCGTTTTCCTTTGGTGGCAATCGACCATCAATGCATCCGTATCCGTGCGCTCTGTAAGTACATACATCATACATACATATGTACTTATGTACGCCTCGTATGGGTAAGATTCTAGTGACTGCTGCTTGGACTTTTCATACTTGCTCTGGTGGAAATTAATTTCGGCTCCAGCAAAGTGTGTGCACAGGTTTTCCTCTCTACATCTTCTCCTCTGTCTGTTCATGCATGAAATTCTATAGATGAAAATTTTAACAAAAGAAATGTGAGTATTGCTGGGGGGTGGGCCACGTGGCAGGAGCGGTGCGGTGCACAAAAACCTTCAAACGAATTTTATAAAATATCAAAACTGGTTCCCTGGAGATCGTGTCGGACGGTCCCTTGCCTTACACACAGGTATGTAACCTGTACACAGGTATTTAATGCACAGCAAAAATTGTCGAGATTTTTAAGAGCATGTTTTTTGGCATTAAATTCCCTTGGGGCTGCAAGAATATTCAATTTTATTGGCTGGCATGCAGCACAATCAATTTCGTATTTATATTTAATGATTATTTGTCTAAAAGGATCAAAGAATATTGAAAACTAGGCGAACTATAATTCTCAAAAGTGATTTAAGCATTTTAGCCACATTTTCATTTAGTTGGATCAGTCAGAATTTCGGCTATCTATGAAAGCTACATTAAAAATCAATGATTCCCCATTTATTCTATTTATTTAATTTATTTAATTTCATTAAGCCGATATTATGTAACGGGGGGATGCAGTACTTAAGATTAGCCATGCATGCTGATTAAATCTTAAATATCTATATTACTAGAGGCAGAGGTATCCCCTCCGCTACAGCCTTTAGCTGTGTTCATGGTTTCCCGCATCCTCGCTGAGGTTTCTTTTTGTATTTCTGACAATTTACAAGATCTTTAAGGCACATGCAAATCATTATGTTAATCGCGTATCATCAAATTTTCTGGCACCATTCATCACACTGTGCCACATGCTGCATCCACAGAGCGTAGCCCACACATCGTAGCCCAGCATCACTCTCCTGGCCCCATGTTTACCCTGCCTCCCCCCCTCTGGTAGCTGCTGCTGCTGCTGCTTAGCGCTTTCGCGTGGATAAGTCGAAATTTATACAGGCAGACGAGAGTCTGGGTTATGCTATAGTTTGCACTTTTTGTTTGTCAGATATACACACACACACACACACACAGTTACTACGCTCGTGTGCAGCATATAACTATGTGTGTGTGTGTGTGTGTGTGTGTAGTATACACGAGCAGCATAAGTAAACAAGTTTAGTATAATCAACGGCTGGCTGGCTGGCTGGCTGCCTGGCTGCTGGGCTGGCAGGGGCTTCCAGGAATACGTACAAAAAAAAGTGTTGCACATCCGCTTACATAACACACACACACCTACACACGAACACATACACATGCAGAAAGAGACAGAAAGAGAAATGCTTGGGGGGGGGACATGCTACAGGACATGGACATGCCATAGTATATGTTTTTATTAGCATGCTTTGTACGCCTTTGTATGCGGCGGCCAGGCACACGACCAACTTGGGTCTGCAGCTATCAGTGGAGCAGAGGGAGTGGGGCTGCCGATACCTGTCTCTCAGTGCTCGTAAAACCACATTACCTCTGATTTCCGAGCACACAGACAGCAGCCAACAGACAGCAGCCAACAGACAGCAGCCAGCAGACAGCAGGTGGATGGTTGAAGGGAATGTCGGGCGGGGGATCCGATCCCCCGTATCTCCGTGGAATGGTTCATCAGAATGAAGGGCCTGCAGTCGAGCACACACTCCGATTGGAGGCTAACTGCTGCCGGGGTTCGCCCCGTTGGCGCCTTTGTGCCACGCTCATTGAATGTTTTCCTATTAATTTTTTATTGAATGATGCTCTTTTTCTATACCACACCCTCACCCCATCTCAGACAGGTGAAAGGAGCGAGCAGAGGAGTGTTTTGCATTCCCTGCGGCTGGCTGCCAGCTTCATTGAATTTCCGTACTGCTCATGTGGAACACGAAGTAAATGTCTTACTATCTGCCCTGCCTCTATGGCTGCAGCGCCACTGCTGTGTCTCTTCTGGTCCCGTAAAATGGCCAACAAATTGCCAGCGCTTAGACGACACACAAATGCCCAGCCGTGGAGTACCCTTTGTCCGCAATGGAAGTGGATTGCCTCTGTCCTGTATACCCGCGCTCAATACCCTGTTGTCTGCCTGGCAACAAATGAGGCAACATCATGTGAAATATGTTGGTAGTTCCTTAAAGCGGGGGAAAATGGGAAGCTGGTTAAGCCTGGCATGCCACTCCATTCGGAAGATGTTTTTTTACGGCACAAACAAAAATGTCACAAAAAAAAGGGTGACTCACAAAAGAGCTGTGGCACACGCACACCGGCACTCCGTTCCGTCCCCCCGCTGAATCCAGAGATAAAGAATGGGAATGGGAGCGGGAGCGGGTGGCGGCCGTTGTGGCAGCAAAAGTATCAGCAATGAAATAAACAAAGCCCCAAAACGACTTGCAAACCTCCGCGGCGGGGGAACAGACGAAGATAAAAAGAGGAATGGAGGAAGAGGGTGGGAGAGAGAGAGCGAGAGAGCGAGAGATTGTGGTTAGGTGAGTGAGAAGCTTAACATACCAAAAGCAGAGGGGCTGCAGAGGCTGCCACCAATGTCCGCCGTACGCACTCCACTCCGCCGACCACAGTCAAAATTATCGAAGAGCAGCTGCTGTGTGGGTGGGTGGCCCTACGCCCTCTACGCCCTCTACGCCAGCCTTTGGCTTTGTGGCTTTTGGGTAAATATTTTGAATAAAATATCAATTTTATATGCCAGTGCCGCCAACCTACAACCTACACACACATGGGAACCGCCGCCAACTGCAGCACGGGACAGGACAGACTTTAAGCTGAATGAAATTGGATGTGCAAATACAACAAGTTAATAAATTGTATACTACATTTGCCCCTTTCCCCTCTGATACGCTTTCTGCTTCTCTCTCTGTCGCTGTCTCTGAAGTGCCCTGCGGTTGTCTTGCTCTAAATAATGTTGCATAACTTTGTCTGCCGCAAAGCGCCTGCAGCGTTTGACCTGCCACGACCGCTGCTGCCACTCCATCAATTCCAGTGAATCATAAAAATCAGCAAAGCTGTCACAGGACCCAGCAACATCATGCAAATGAAGGTACGCTGAAAAACGAGGCAAATCCCGGGTCCTCGAGATTAATTGAGACCCATTTGAGGTGACATTAAGCGGCTGCCCACAAAACAAAACACAAAGAATGCCAAAAATAACCAAAGAAGAAGAGGGGATGGAAGGAATACGATCCCTTTGGTAAACGGAAAATTCACTCAATTTGGCCGAGGAATTTGGCAAGCGGGGGATATTCGAAACTCGATTTACTTGTTGATTTCACGCGAACACCCGACGCCCAAGAGGATAAGCCCATAATTGAATTACCCGCGAATAAAAGGACTACGAAGTGGGCTTGCAGAGTGGTGGGGGAATGGCACTTGGAACTGGCCGTTTTTCTGGCACCGCTTTCCGTGGCTGTGGCTGGTGAAAAGAGTACACAACATTTAATTGCAATTGAATACACTTTTTAGTGGGCTTATCGCATCCGAGAGTGGTGAAAATATGCAAATTGAAACCGGAAGCGAGCCACAAAATAAATATTTACGGTTTCTAATCCGTTCACAGGATATTTGCCGCGTATCATAGCGTATCATAGCATAGTATTGATTTATGCTTATTGCTAGATAGCAGATAGCCCCTCTGGCAGGTTTAACATATCCAAATCGAATGCCCGTGTGCCAAAGGGGCTGGGCGGTCATGCATTTTCGAAATGTTAATTAAAAAAACATCTGCCGTGCATAAGCAAATAGCAAAAGCCCCCCCTGGGGCAGGTCTACACCCTACTCGCCCTCCTGCATATTTGAGCACTGGTATTTATTTGATAATACGATATTTACGGTGGACAAACGACATGACCGGGCCCGGACCCGGGCCCACAAATCAACAAACTATTATTGTGTGAAATTGGAAATTCCAATCAAAACAACGCCACGCCCATTGCAGGCGCCACCATGTGACCTCTGATCTCTGACCACCGAACACTGCTAACTCCCGGCCCCTGCTGCCCTTTCCCCCTTCTGTCTGTCCTGCTGTTAGGGTAACCGTATCACGTAGCCTGTTAACGGAGAGCATAAATATTTCAGCCACAATTTCAGGGGCGGCAACGACATCCACTTAGCCGTCTCCAGCCCCCACACCCAATGCTGCCCACATTCTGTGCCGTATATATACAGCTCCTTGACGGAAACTGAGCTCCAGTTCGCTGCTCAGATTCAGTTGCCTGCGGTCATGGATGTCAGCTACTTCTCGATACAGCGTCGTGCCCTGGAAATTGTGGGCTTCGAGCCCAGCACCCAGCGCCTGCAGATGAAGCATCCGCTGTGGGCGGCGCTGCTCATCTTGTCGCTGGTCTCCCACAACTGGCCGATGGTCGTCTATGGCCTGCAGGATCTCAGCGATCTGACCCGCCTCACCGACAACCTGGCCGTGTTCATGCAGGGATCGCTCTCCACCCTCAAGTTCGTGGCCTTCATCGTGAAGCGGCGACGCATCGGCGCTTTGGTGCATCGCCTGCATGGCCTCAACCGGGAGGCGTCTGCCGACCCGCAGCAGCTTGAGAGGATCCTGCAGGAGAACCGATTGGACACGTATGTATCGCGGGCGTTCAGGAATGCCGCCTACGGGGTGATTGTTGCCTCTGCGGTTGCCCCCATGCTGAACGGCCTGATTGCCTACCTAACCGACGGCGTCTTCCGGCCGACCACGCCCATGGAGTTCAACTTCTGGCTGGACGAGCGGCAGGCCCGCTTCTACTGGCCCATCTACGCCTGGGGCGTGCTGGGCGTGGCCTCCGCTGCGTGGCTGGCCATAGTGGCGGACACGCTCTTCTCCTGGCTGGTCCACAACGTGGTGGCACAGTTCAAGCTGCTGGAACTGGAACTGCAACTGCAGGACAAGCAGCAGCCCGGTGACCACCTGGTGGAGTGCATTCGACGTCATCGCTTGGCCCTGGACCTGGCCGGAGAGCTGAGCGCCATCTTTGCGGAGATCGTGTTCGTGCAGTACATGCTGAGCTACCTGCAGCTGTGCATGTTGGCGTTCCGCTTCACCCGCAGCGGCTGGAGCTCCCAGGTGCCCTTCCGCGCGACCTTCCTGCTGACGGTCTTCATCCAGCTGAGCTCCTACTGCTACGGCGGGGAGTACCTCAAGCAGCAGAGCTCCGGCGTGGCCCTGGCCGTCTACTCGGACTGCGATTGGTCGCAGATGCCACCAGCCAGGCGTCGCCTCTGGCAAACGATGATGATGCGGGCCCAAAGGCCCGCCAAGGTGTTTGGCTACATGTTCGATGTGGATCTGCCGCTGCTGCTTTGGGTGGGTTGCAATCAGTTGGATTGATTGGTGTTGCTGGATTTAATGTGTGCTTTAAATATTCATTTGGCAGGTAACAAGAACGACGGGATCGTTTCTGGCCCTGCTCCGGACATTCGAGCGCTAAAAGGATGCCGCTGCACTCTCCGTTTAGCTTTAGAAGCACTCCCCACCCACCCGAAACAAAATGAGACACTAATTTGTGGAAATCTGAAAGTCCTTTAGTCTGTGCTACCCCCAAATAAACCGAACTGACGACACACCTGCCACTTGCCATACACGGATGCCGCAACAAGCAGGGGAAATTGAAATTCATGAGCGAATTCCATACGAGCATCACACAAAACGTGCTCATGCATGTATTCGGAGTCGGGGAATGTGCAGCGGGGGCTGAGGATTCCGTGGAGCTGAAGCCGGAATTTGTTAACTGGAAATATGCAACAGCAGCAGCAACATCCAGACAGTGAACAAGTTGTTGAAAAATAGCAACCTGAGCTATGTGCACCATTCCCAGCCATTAGCCCCGGAGTCCTTTGGCTCAGTCAGGGATACATGGATACAGGCAGACCGACTCTGAATGCAGCTCCAACTCCAGCTCCAGTGTACTGTGCTCTGACTCCTACTCAGGTGCTGTTGGTCCCTTGGAATGCGACCCATTCCAGCGCTTTTCAGGCTGGGCTGGGGGCCGGGAATGTTGCCTGGACTTGTGGCATGGAATGTTCAGTTAGGAACTGTCGAGATTCGGCTACAGTTGGAGTTGGAAGCTGCTGGCTCATAGCCTGAGCCTCAGCCTGAGCCTGGCAACCAGGAATTTCTTTTATTACATTTTGCAACTCTCAAATTTTCACATGCAACAGAGTCCGCAACAGGACAAATTGTGTGCGGTCGGTGGGTCGGTGGGTCGGTGGTGGGTCGCAACTTAACTTCTATAACAAATTGCGGCCCAGCTTTTGTTGGCATAATTAATTTTTGTCTCTGTCATTTGATTTATTACTCTGCAGTGGAGAGAGGAGAGTAGAGAGCGGGGGGCGTTCTATGGTCAGCAGCATCTTTGGCTGTGGTTTGAAAAACAAATGACCAACGATTAATAACTGAAAAAGCCAGCGGGTGTGCCATTATACACCTGCAGCGTAAACGGAATATCGAGCATTAATCTGCCCGCCTGCCTGCCCCCAAAAGCTTGCCAGCAAACAACATTGCCACAAATTGTGGCCGAGATAAAAGTGCGCACAAGTTGAAAATAGTGGTAGCAACGGCAAAGCAACATCATTTTATGTGTATTAAAAATGGGAAGAAGAAAAAAACACGACAGCAACGGCAACAAGGGCAACATCGGGCGGAACAGGGGCAGGCAGCACAGATTTTGTTTGCGGTTCGTTGAGCACACAATAATTCCATCAACAGCAAAGGTGGGCGTGCCAGTGGGCGGTCTGTGGGGTCACCGCAGATGCCGACAGCTTTCCAGTTGCTGGCTGCCTGCATTCACCATTCTGCAGGTGGAATGTTTGGTCAGCGATTCGCTGCGGCCCACAGGGCGTATGCTTGATAATCGAAACAAAAAGATCTTGTCGGTACATACGGCTGCAGGGCAGGTGGATAGTTGGCACACAGTTATGCAATTGCTAATTGAAATTCAAATCAGTCACGATGTTTGCCACCTGAGGCCCCCAGCCCCAAGAAGTAGGCAACGAAAAGTGTCCCGCTCACAGCAGAAGGAGACCTACACTGTGTGTGTGTTTATGTAGAATATTTTTCGGTATAGGCGTGGTCTGGCCTCAAACTTTTCTAATTAAAATTGTGTGGCTGTTTAAAAGGTTAAAGCTGAGAGCTGGGAGAGAGTTGAAGGCTGCCTGGCAGTAAATGAGTTTTAATTGAAATTACATTAATTAATTTTTAAAATATGCTTAAATACACATTTCAATGCATTAATTAATACGCTGGCACACAGGCACACACGCACAGGCTATGTACGGAAACAATGAAACGTGACTTACACTAAAACAGCAACCGGAAACAGGAATTAAACTAAGCCAAAGCCCTCGTAACTTTGGCAGGCGGGTGTCTGTCTGTCTGTCTATCTGGCATGCTGCTAATTAAAAAGCTCTCATTAAGTTTTAAACTCCCTCATGTGTGGCTTATGCACTTGAATCCATTTTAATTGGGGGTGCCAGCTAAGCCTCCAAAAATGCATTTCGAACGTACTGGCGAGCGCATTAGGGTCTGTGGTCCATGCTCCATGCTCCATGGAACCACATTGCATTGATGTGACACGGAACAAACAGATTTGGATATTACTCATTTCGAATGAGTATTTTGTGTTTTCGCCACATAATTGCCAGCGATTTGGCCAGCTTCCAAATTGACTTGTTTTCGCTCCCTTCCGCGCGACACCCCGAAACTGTTAACTCTATTGGTTAGCTGTACTTCTGCCCTGCCCCCCTCGCTAGTCACTGATTTACGAGTGTGTCCCTGGTTCTAGCCCATTTTTATGGCACTTCGTGTGACCCACTTGAACCACAGCATGCAGTGGTCTCCAGACCACGAAGAGTCCCTTACTAAAGTCGCAGACGCGACTGTCCCTTGAGTCGGCCACATCCATGGAGATGCCACATGCATGACAAGCACTTATGCAAATTATATGGCATACTTATGGACAGAAGACAGACGACAGAGGATGTGGCATCGACTTTGGCTTCATTTGCTGCCATTTTGATCGGGTTTTTGCTAAGATAAAAATCAGTTGGAATACAGCTGGAATATTCTAAAAGTCGAAACCAAGAAATTTTTTAAGACCCGCTTCAAATTTCCATAGAACGACTTGTGCCTGAAAAAGTTCCAGACAAACTTTAAACTAATTGCAGAAATGCATATGTATGGTGGGAAAATTCAAAGGGAATTCAGTAATAAATTCAGCATACTAATGAGAGAAAAATTCAGTATTTTATTCGTATTCTGTTTTAGTTTTTTACGAGAACTTTTAATTAGTTAAATGTTGAGGTTCAGCAGCCAAAACATTTCAAGCATTCGTAATTATATTCTGGCAAATATTCAAAGTAAATAATTAAACCCCACCCCCACCGCTGCAACCATCAATGCAAGGGACTCTCAATATGCCAGTGATAAATGGCACTAGTAATAATTACTAGATAATTTTCACAAATACGAATGTTTGCTATTGCCGTGGGCAACCACAAATTGCAATTCATTTATGCATAATTAACCAATAATTCATTTGGCAGGAGAGCGCGCGACTAAATTGATGCCATTAAAGCCATTAAATATTACGAAAGTGTTGAGTGTGTTTTCCTGCCATAAAATCAATGTGCACTAAAATCCTAAGATGATTATGTGTAATATTTAATTTGATGTACGTATGCACATATAATTGACAGGCAGATAGATATTGACAGGGTCTTGACATGGACTCGACTCACTGCTTCGCTGCTTCTTTGGCGCCGTCAAGAGATGCACAGATAAATACGATACGTGGAGTGGCATTTAAAAACAAAGAAAGTTCGTGTAATACATATATAATACATAGAAATTCGAGTAGAGTGTTTTATCTTTTTTTTTTTTGTGGCAGTGGTGGGGGGATGGAGCTGCAAGAGTGAATGCTGATGATATGGAAATTACAAATGACATTGTGTGTTTCGGGGAGCCAACGTCTCAGACATTGTCAAATTGTTTAGAAGCGAGACGCAGGACAATAAAGAAGAGAAGAGAAGCAGAATGAAAGCAATGAATAGTTGAAAAATGACTTTCCTTCAATAAGGTTCTCCTCTACGGTGCTCTTTGCATGAAAGTGGCTGTGGGAACTGAGACTGGACTGGAAAATGGGAAATGGGAATGAGTGGGCTATTTTTTCGGTTGTTGTTTTTGTTTTTGCTTTTGTTTTGCAATGTCGCATGAGTTTTGAGTTTTTTCTAATGTGTCTGTGAATGTGTGTCTGTATGCGCTGGTGGGTGATGGGGTGGGGGGAATTATGGCTTTTAAAATGTTGTATAATGTGGATTCAATTATGTTTTTTTTCTTTCGAAAATTTCTGTTGTGTTTTGTTTTGTGCTTTTTTTTTTATTGGTTTTCGTTTTGGTACATTACAATTTTTGGCTCCATGGTGGGCTTGGGGGTTGTCTTCGTTGACTTCATTTCCTCCCCACGTTTTTGGGGGGGTTTTCCTCTCTTCCTGTTCTTTTTGCTGGTAATTCAATTTGCGATTGGATGTCGATTGGGTTTCAGTTCGGTTTACAGTTAACTGATGACAACTGATTCGATTTTGCGGCTTGGAAATTGTTGCGCTGCTGCTCTCTTATCTGCTTTAATTATTCCTGCTGGTACTGCTGGCCCATTGGATTTTCGCTTCTTCTTTTCATTTACATTTCACGTTCGATGGAATTCTTTTGTTCGGTTATTAATTTCTGTATTTATTTCATTTTATTATTCATTTCCACTGTTTGTTTGTTTGCTTTGCTTTGCTTTGTCCTTTTTTGTGCGTGCTGGCGAATGCGAAACCGTTTTGTTCTCGTTTTTTATGATTTTATTTCTTTATTTTTCATTTGAGTTGCGAAAATGTTTTTGTGGCTTGGTGTTTTTGTTCAATTGGATTGATTTTCGGGTTGGTTTCGTTTCGTTTCGTTTGGTTTATTATTTACTAATAAAATGCATGTAAGTCAGTCCGTCGTTTCACAATATTTTTGTTTTGTTTTGTTTTTGTTTTTCTATAATTTATTTAATGTTTTTTTTTTTGCGTGGGGCTGTAATTCGAAAATTGAATAATAAAGAAGGAAACACTTGTATTCACACGCACACAGAACGGGAATGAACAACGCATGGAAAACCAATTAAGTAACAAAAGTGGCAATCAGTGGATAGCAGCGGAACGTTGCACCCATCTGTGGCAGCAACTGGCAGACGAATGCTGATGCTGATGATGCGGATGCTGCTGCTGCTGCTGCTGATGCTGTTACTGCTGCCACTGCAAGTGCAGGACGGCACAACAAGTGCATGTGGAAGACAGACCAGACCGCACCCTCTACCTAACTGCCACGCCTTTGCTGCGACAGTTTTGCTGTCCATTAGACTTGCCACACGAACACGCATCCACCCCCACTCAAGCGCACACACACACACACCACACACACACAGGCAGACTAAACTTTTAGCTTATGTTGGATATTCTGTGGAAATTCGTTCAATCCCGATTTCGATATAAGTTCCAAGTCCAAGGCGTGCACGGCGCTTGGCGCTCAGAGGAAAAGACAACTTGATCACAGCATGGAAAATGTTCAACTGACCGAGGCACGGACGCGTCGTCCGCCGGAGAAGCGTTCCGGCTGGGGCTGAAGCCAACCGGAGGCCGCTGCTTTATCAGCTCGTGGCGCTCGTGCTGTTGCCCCGAAGTCCTTGGCACTCGTTCGGCTCGTTCGGGGCATCGGCAGGGGGGCGGGCTCGTGATGGGGCATGGATTTGGGTTTGGGCTCGTGCTCGTGTTCGTGTTCGTTTCACTCCTTCGCGCAAGTCACGAGACAGAGCAGAAGCAGAGCCACAGCAGCAGCACAGTGGCAGCAGCAGCAGCAGCATCCGCAAGGGGAAGCAACATGTTGGACGCATCCTTGGCTGCTGTTGGCTCGCTCGCGAGGCTTTGAGTGGAACTCATTCGCGTGGTGTGTCGTCACGTGTTGCACGCTGGCATTGAGACCGAGTGAAAGCTCTCTCCTCAATTTCGGTTTGTTTTGTTTGCCTACGCCCTACGCGATGGATGGCTGCCAGGCCATGCCATGCCCCCCACACGGTGGATGCCCCTGCTTATGGATGGCGATGATATCCTTCGGAACGGAAATTATGCATGAGCGGGATATGTATTACTCTACCATCGAACAATGGGAATACACATTGCTCTGCCTTGCTTTTCTTTTGAGCTTAGCCCTAGCTTTTCATCAGCATTTGGTAATTGAAGGCTGTGTTTGTTTTTCCCATCTTCATCTTGCATGTTACCTGACACCCCCATCTGGCTCCATCCCCCATCCCCTTTGGGCTCCATCCCTTGGCTCCCTCCCTGCACAGCTCTCTCTTATGCTCCGACTGATAGCGATAGCAAAGTTTTTCGGTTATTCTCGGAGGTGCATTCACACATGGCTGCCTCGCAATTCCAAAAGGAGAGAGTGTGACAGCTCAGCTTAGGGTGGGGGTGGGAGGGTATGGAGAGGGTTATCTCTCGCATAATGCAATTATGCAATGCCTGCAGGCGGAACTTCTTTTGGTAATAAGCACTTTGAAGTTCACAGAACGAAGTACACAAGCCGCTGAACAAGTTGCCATTTTGTTGGCTTCACTTCCACACCTCCACCACCACCACCACCACCGCCACCCCCTTCTTCTTGTTGGACATGTTCGTATTACACAAGTCTGATGCTCACAATTTATGCACTTTATTAATAAAGTTTCCGACCCAGACAGAGCGGAAACACAAAACATTTAATAACAATAAAAAAAAGACAAGCCTCCAAACAATTAAGCAAAAATGTGGGTGCCATAGAGGAAGGGCTTTAGGATAGTTCAGCTGCAAATGTTTTATGCCCTCCTAAGGGGCAATCAAATGTTTCCAAGAAAACGTTGCTTCGTTTGGTTTTTCGAATGAAACCTTTTTTATCAGCACAACTTTCCTATGGATGATATATTTCCCTTTGGTGCAGAAATATTAATTGTGTGAAACCTTAAAAATGGGGAATTTTGTAAATTTGTTTGAATCAATTCCAATGAAATACAATGGAGTTGATAATTGCTTTGCAAACTATTGTTTCTATTGCTGCCAATCTGAATCTAATTAATGTAAATTATGTAGCCATGGAGAGACATCTGAAGGATTGCTGGACATGGAAGTACTTCAAACGAGAAATGACAAATAAATGCTGGGAGAAAGTAATAAAAACACCCTGCGAATATCAGTGTAATATATATGAGACGAAAAACTATTCGCTGGTTGTATTTTTGCAGTTGAAACTATTTATTAAATCGAAGCATTGCAGCGGACAGCATTCTACTTATTTTTTTGTTAACCACTTTGCCCGTTTTGGCCTTGTCCACTTTGCTGATTGCCGTTTCCACCATTCGGTGGGCCTTTCGGACCATTCTGGGATTGCGGCGGACCACTCTGGGCCAGGGACACGGCAGACACCTGCTGGGGCCACTCAGACTGGAAAGACATTGCGCTGTGAGCCTGCCAGGCGTATTGAGAAACCTCACAATCAACTCTTACCAGTCCCAAGGCCAGGATGAGGAAAAGTATGCCAAACAATGCGAACTGCTTCATGTTGAAATTGAAATTGAAACTAAAGCAAAGCAAACTCTCAGCCACCTTATATATACATTCATGACTGGCTAAAGCTGGCCTGGCCGGGCCCCCGCCAAGCTAAAGATTTCTATCGTCGCATCGTCTGTGGGATTCTTTTTTTGTGGTTGCGCAATTGATAAGCAAACAAATTGTTTATTTGTTCTATAATTTGTCAATTAAATGCTGTGCAAGGCAATTTGCGATGCATCAGTTCTTGGTTGCGTGTGTCCAGTGATTAAAATTAAACAAAAATTAAATAAATTATAAACAAAATGCAACAAAACTGTACTGCACTTTTAAGTGCAGCGATTTGGATTTGTTTCGCACTGGGAATTAAATATGACGGGAAAACCAAAATTGTTTCGATGAAGCAATAATTGCAGCAATTTGGAACACATTAAATCCACATTTAATCTGATGCAAAGGAATATATTGATACTCTCTTATTTAATTTGTTTTTGGCGAGCAAACTACTCGTATTTATTATTCAAGCTCGATTCTGTGGGTTTTATGCGGACTTTTAATTTCAGTGGGTGCAAGCCACGAGCAGGCAGCCAGCCTAACATGCTCCCCATAGCCCCATACACGGTCTCACAGTTTCCGACTCGATCCACGGAGCCGCCAAAAGGCGAACCGCACCCATCGCGCGTACACATTCAAGGCCCCCCCCCCACACACACACAGTTGCCTTCCCACCTGTGTGCTATGCAAATCACCTTGGGGCCATGGGCAGGCAAAGCAATTTCGCTTAGCATTTTGCAGCGTTGACTGGCAAAATGTCTTCAGTTTCAGTTTGAGATTAAATTCTGCCAACGGTTAGCCAAACAGAAACAGAAACAAGCACAAGAGCAGGAATTTCTAGTTGGAGCAAGACAAGCGGCAACAAAAGGCATGCCCCAATCGCACAGGGGCATGTACAATGTACAATGTATGTAAAACTTCATGCCACACGTGGCTGAGTGTGGGTGTGTGTGTGTGTGTGTGTGAGTCAGTCTGTTGAGGTAATAAATATTCGCTGTTCTGGCGAAATATGAATATTGAATATGCCTATGGCCCCTGCCCCGGCCACAGAATCAACCGCAAGCGAATGGCAAAACGCTCAAAAACCGTCAAGCGTGAAGCTATAAAAAGGAAGGAAGAAAGGAAGAAAGGAAGGATGTATGTGTGTGTGTGTGCCAGGGGCAAGAGCAAGTGCAAGACCAAAAACCGAAAGCCAGGACCAGTGGTAGGTAGTCGTAGTAGTAGTAGTCCTTGCCCGACGCCACCAGCATACATTGTGGATGAGCACTAATGAAGTTTCGGCTCGTCCTTTCACGGCTGGCTGCCTCATTGTTTGACTTTGACTTTGCCACTACTCATGCCGTACAGTGCCGTACCTTTCACTTGCCACCAGCCACCAGCCAGCAGCCAGCCAGATCTTCCTGCTGCCTGCGCCCAGGCATGCCCCATCGTCTGCCCCATAGCCCTGGCAACGCTCTCATTTCCAGTTTGCTTACTCACGAATGTTTGTTCAGTCAACGTTGGGTCCCCCGCGTCCCCCCGCGTCCCACTTGGTCTTTTATGATCCCGCCTCTGTTCCTCTGCTCCTCTGCTCCCCCGTGCGTCACCCGCCTATTTATTTATGTTTATAATAGGATTTTTATCAAAACTTTTTGCCGAATTCATTCTGTAATGAGTATTTAAAAGACACTCCCATTCGGACAAGCAGAGACGGGGCCGGCGGAGAGACGGGCAGGAAGGAACCCGCAGAGCACTTTTGGCGTTTGTCTTTTGACACGCCCAATGCCCACTCAACTTTCTATGACAACCGCCTACGCCGGCAGACCCCAGCCCACTCAAAACAGAGACTGGGCCCGCCGGAATGCGGTAGAAAACTTTGTGGAGACAGCCCACACGGAGGGTAGTAAAAGAGCTTGAAGGGATATTGATGAGTTAGCAAAAGACAGATTAAAATGCATAGCGAATGAATATGGAAAAGATCCTTAGTAGGGAGATCATCCTTAGCATTTTTGGCTATAAAATATTCTTTGGATTCTTTCAATGGGTATTCCCATGTGCTGTTCGTTTCCATCATTCTTTCAACACTCTCAACTCGCACCAGAAACTTTTTGTTTTTGTTTTTGACTAATTTGCTGCAATGTTCATTCATTATAGTAATGCCGGTATGGAACATGGCTCTGGTTGGGAGCTCCGCTCCGCTCCTCCGCAACCGAAACTAAATAATTGCCAAATATTTGCGCAAGTTCTTCGTGGCGCATTCAGCTCATTATGATTTCACATTGATGGACAGGGATGGGCTTGGGTTAGATTAGGCGTTTTCTGGGGGTGCTGGCCAGGTGGGGAGGTGTTGGCTAGCGCATCCCATTCACAGAGCAGCTTTCCTCAGATGCCTACTCCGCTGCCGAAGTGTCTAATAAGGTCTGAACCAGAACCAAATCTGAATCTGAAGCCTGTTCGCTCCGGCGATGGCCTTTGTTTGCCGTTGAGCCCTTAAGTGATTATAAAAGCCTGTCTAATTCTGTCCAAATTTGCTGCTTAAACATGGCCAATTTAATTTCGGCCATGCCCGGTCAGGCACTTTGCCAAATTCAGCCTGATGTTGCCTTTTCCCATCGGCCCTCCCACTGCCCACTGCCCACTGGCTTGCTTTCTCTGCAATTAAGTCAAGTTTGCTGCGGCTCTGAAAGCCAACACGAAAGTCAAGGACCACCAGGCAGCAGGCAGCCAAAGTTAGTGGCAGTGGCAGGGAGGCTGTGCCAGTGGCAGTGGCAGAGGTGACTATTTAAAAGTGCATTGCTCTAAATGCTCGCTGAATGCCCCAGAGTGCGGCTCGAGTTTGATTGAATCAACTATTCAGGAACCGGCGCCACAGCAGGACAGGCCCAGAGCGCGCACCATTCGAGGCAATCATCAAGGATTACAGGCAAACTATAGAAATCGCTTTGGAATGATGTGATGACTGCCGACAACCGACAGCAGACAGTTGACTAATGCAAATACACATAGTCGCAGTCGCAGTCCGTCCACAGCTCAGTGAGACAGGCCAGAGGAGAGGCAGATGGGCGGAGGAGAGAACTTTTCAAAGAATCATTAATCATGGAAAGTTCAGAGGGATTTAATCCTTGGGCATGGCATGGGCTATAAGCCTTTGTAGAGCTGTCGATATTTGTTTTTGGTTGCTGCGCAAATTGAGAGGGAAAATGAGGATGACAAAGTTCTTGTTGCCCCGCCATCCCATCCCATCCCATCCCATCTCCTCTCCTCTCCATTCCATTACTTCTACATCCAAAACTACTCCATCCGAGACAGAACTTCTTCTGTCTATCTCTGGCTCGGGCTCGGGCTATGGTGCTGCTCTCTCTGGCTCTGTCTCTGTCTCTGGCTCTGTCTCTGGCTGTGTTGGAAATATGTTTTATCATATTTGTTTGGAATGCTTTGCATTTTTTCAGCTTGTGGTTAACAACACACGCGCACAGATACACACACACACAAACAAACACACACACACACGCATAGGAGAGGACATTTCCTTTGTCTTTTGGCTCGTCCAAGTTTTCCTGCTCTTTTCTTTTCAGCTGAACCGTGTGGCTCACTTGCAAAATACTGTAAATATTTTTAATTCTTTGCCAGCGCCAGAGGGCCAGCGGCATTTTCAGCTTTTAAGCTAAAGCTATGATAATAATTTGGTCCCTGAAATACTTGCGGCTCAGCAATAGGGACGGCAAGAAGGAGGAGGGTGGGGTCTCTGGCCATGGGCATGGGGCATGGGCATGGGGCATGGGCAATTGGAATGCCTTTTGTGGTCCGCAGTAACATCGTTGACGATGGCGTGTTGATTAAGCACGAGTGGGTAGCAGGGAAGCAGCTGCCGTCATGGAATACAGGGGGCACATTGTTCCTCTTCGGCGGCGGCCTGTCACCAGGCAGGAGCGGCTGGCTGGCTGCCCTGCTCTGCTCTGCCCTGCCACAAAGTGTAGCTGCAAGTGGATAATAACTGACGGCAACTATGCGCATTTGTTTTGTGCGGCAAAGTAATGAAACAACAGCACACAGGCGAACCCAAAAAATGACAACGCACAGCGCGCAAATGCCGCGGGCAGGACAACAGACAGCAGGACTCTGCCGCTGCCGCTGCGGCAACAACAACATCAGCATCTCATCTGCCGAGCAGCGCAGAGCCGAGCAACAAACTGAGGAAATTGCGTGCATAGTGGAAAAAGTTTTCTGAGCGGACCGACGACGTCATCAGGGGGGAGGACTTTGCCTTTGCCTTTGCCTTTGCGCTTCCCCCTGCTGCTCGACGGCGGGGGCGTAGCCACTCGGAGCTGCTTTGTCATTGCCGCAGATTTAGCTTAAGAAATTCATAACTGCATTTCACATTTTGCACGTTGTGCACACGATGAATGCGGTACCAGCAGGCCGCAGGAGTGGCCAAAGAAAGGGTAGGCAGGAACCGGAAACCTCGCCCGGCCGCCATTGCCTCGCAGAATGTGCGCGCTCGTGCAGCATTCATCGTAGTAGGTGGAAAATTGAAACGCAAACTCAATGCCAACGATGGGATGGAAAATGTTGAAACTCGAATCTTCACGGCGCAGGCAATTCCACGAAAATAAATCCTCTCCCTCTATGCCGTGCTCGGCAAAAACTCTGCACAAAGGCAATCAGAGTAGCCAACAGTTCAAGCAATAATAACTTTCAGGAACTGAGTTCTAAAACGAAAACTCCAACTTAATATGGCAGAGATATCCGTGGGTGTGTTTTTCTTTACGCACTTCCAAAGTTCAGCTTTCTCTCTCTCTCTCTCTCTCTGGTTTGAGCTTAAGGCCAAGGTTCCTGTACCTCTTGGGTTTCGTTGCCATTATTTTTGCTTGTGCTTTTGAGCATTTGTGCCCATGGTGCGCGGCTTGCGGTGTGAGGCCTGCCAGAGCCAACACACAAATTAGTTTTAACCAGGCATTGTCACGCTGTGGTGGCGCCCATTGTGCTGCAGCCAGACCGCAGCTCCCGATTAAGTGCATCGCGTTGGAAAAGGGAGCACTCGCTGGTGATGTGGGGCAGTGGCAGGACTAGAAGCAGTACTTGGGAGTAGTCGCAGCTGCTGCGTGTTGACATTTAACTACCTTTCAGCACAAAAGTTTCCCTCCCCCCACCACCCCCCCATACAGCTACCGTGGACCTGCAGCTGTTTTGGAGCCCAGCCCTGCTCAGCCCAGGCTCATGTGCGAGTGTTCGCCGAAAGAGGCGAGGGAGAGAGGGAGGCCAGCGCTTCTAATCAACGTCTAATTAATTTTCACGCCAGCTCTTAATGAAGGTGGCAAGTGCGGCGGGGCCATATGCATGATTGATGATTGATAATTAAGTAGGAGGCGCTTAAGTCCACACGAAACGCAACCAAAATTATCGAGCAGCTCCTTAAACTGCAACAGAAAACAGTAAGAGTAACACCAGCAACATCGCCAGTACTCTCTCTGTGTGTGGGTATTGGTCTTTGTGTGAGATGCAACATGTGATACATGTGTCCTAGTTCCGCATCCGTTACTGCGTTGTTATGCAACACAATGGCACACATAAATGCAGGCTCAAGGAAGCAGATTGTGGGCTGTAGAGACTGTGGCGGGGTTCGAGAGAGGTTTGGGTTTGAGTGAAAGCTGCAGCCGAAAACTAACTCAAGCTCGCAAGCTCACGACTCAGCTTAATATAACAGTATAACAAGCGCAAAGCTTACAAACTAAAATGGCTTTTGCGACGAGAGCTTTGCTTAAGCTTTCCGAAAGCTTTTACTAGTAGGATGAACGAACCATGGAAGTACCTCCAAGGGGGTAAGTAATTCTAAAGATTCTGAAACAATGCAATCTTCGATTCAACCGAAGTTTTTTTTTATATTTTGTTTTCTTTTTGGGTTTTGTTTTTTGGTAGATTTTGTTGTTTGTTTGTTTGTTTGTTTGTTTGTGCTTGTACTTACATTTCGTTTTGTATAGTTCTATAGTTGAAATATAACGAAACAAAATACAATACACACGGCATTAGATATGTGATCGTATCGCATGGAGGAATATATCTAATATTGGATATACATATGTGTATGTGTCTGTATCGAGTACGAGTACGAGTACCAGTATATAGTAAGTAGTATATGTATATTTACAATGTCTGTTCTGCTTCGATATTCAAGCATAATAACAATGCGCGCTTCTATATATATGACTATATATATTATTATAACTTGTTCCATTAGAATTTACGCATTTACTTAGTTTCTAGATTTAAAACTGGGGAATATTACGGGTACTGGGTACGGGTACGGGACTGCATGGCAAGCATGGATCTATATATGTACGTTTAAATATTATAAAAGGGCAGTAAGCATTTTGGAGTTATATATTTGGCACGTGAAACGTTAATGGGTTTCCTTTAGTTGCGCTCCACTTACCCATATCATCGATGATCGGCGCCATGCGCAGCGTCACCCCAATTAGCATGAGGCACATGAGCAGTAGCAAGCAGGCGGTGGCAATTATTGTCCATCGTGCACGCTTCGACATATCGTGTGGATCAATTACCTGTACAAACAAATGAAACTCAATCATTATTCAGTACTCCTTTGATTAGGGGAGCCCCTTCCCCGGCCAATATGTACCTTAATAACCTCCGTGTCCAAGTCCTGTACGAGTATTTTGGGTTTTTTGTGCCGATGTCGCTTTTTGTGGCGATGCCTGTGATTGCAGAAAAAGTACAGTACGAAGCAGCAATTAATTTGAGGTTATGGATAATCGTTTCGTTTACCAACACTGCAAGCTTTGTGCTTTGATTCTCAGCATCGGCGTATCATTTCACATTCATCGGTCTAGGTTAACCCTCAAGCCTCCCCTCAATAATCGCTTAACTGGTTCATCCAAACACACACTGTCACACATGCACACACACACACACACCACACACCCACCACACACAGTCACACAGTCAGGAGGTATGTTCTTGCTACCTGCAACAGAAGCTTAAACATATTTGCTCTATTTCCGTTTGGGTTTTGCAAAACTTCCGCATTACAAAGCTGCCGCAATTTCCCCTCTGCCTGCCCCAACCCCCACCCACCTCCCGCTTTAGCAGCGTATAACGAAGAACAACATGCCGACAACCATAGCTGGATTTTTGCAACGGAAGTTGCCTCCTGGCAATGTGGCAACAAAAAAGAGAGAGAGAGCTACCCAGGCAGCAGCAGCAGCAGAAATAACATCTGACGGCTGGCGGTGTGGCAGGCTGCAAGCTGGGTTGACAGTCAATGCCAGCCCACACCCGTGTCCCTAACTGTTCGCACAAAAGCTTGTCAATCAATTTTTGTCTGCTCAGTTTGCACACACCTCCCGCTCTCCCCCAGGGAGGTGGCTGCCACATTAGGGGCATATTTGGCCAATCGGCAGGACATTTATTAGTGCAGCTCAAGGACATCGGCCCTTTGTTGCTGCTGCACCTGTCCATCCATCAGATGTCCGAAAATGGACAATTATTTATGTGCTCTCCGATCATTTCTCAAATCGAGCTGATTGGCAATGCGAAGGGGGGTAGGGCAGGGCAGGGACAGCAGGTGGTGTGGGACGCAAGCTCTTTGTCCGGGCCTTGAAAGGATTTAAAGACTAACCAGACAGAGAGAGAGAGAGAGAGAGAGAAGAGGGACAAAGTGGGGGAAACTAATCAAAGAGATTTTCCAACTGGACTGCCAAAAGGTAAGGCCGGCCGGACAATGAGGCCCGGCGCCCCAATGGACTCACCGATGCTTTCGTCGATGCCGCTGATGACCGCCGGGAACCATCTGCTCAAGGTCGTCGATTTTATCAGCATCTGTGTCCAGATCCAGCTCCATGTCCAGTTGCAGGTCGCAGGGCGAGTCCTCGCCGTACGGGCATTGTCTGAGCAGCCGGAGGAGGTGGAGGAGGAGGATAATAAATGACATTAGCTGGCGGAACAGAGAGTCCGAGTCCCTTTAGTGTGCGGCATGGACTTACATGGTCTGCGAGCCGGGGGTGAGGCCGAGGACGTGCACATATTGCTGGAGACCACTGGGCGTGGGGTACACCAGCGCAGGATCCGAGCAGCGATGATGGCGCTCTAAGGACGAGCGTAAAAGGAGAAGGAGAAGGAGAGAGAAATGGTGAATGATTGAAGAGCCTTTACGGGACGGGGAGTGCTGCCACTTACTGTACTTCCGCTTCCGTCGTCGGTACTCGTCGTCGCTGCCCGTGCTCTGAGCCGCCATCGCAGTCGCTGCCGAGGATGGCAGCGTGGGCTTGTATCCCTGTCCCTGTCCCTGTGCCTGTCCCTGTGCCTGTCCCTTTGCCTGGCTCTGATTCTGACTCTGGGCCGGCTTCTCTTTTGCCCGCGATGCCGCCGTCTTGGCCGCACTGCAGCAGCCCGTCGGCGCCACACTGGAGCCCGTGGAGGTGGAGGTCATCCGTTGGAGCTTCTCCTGGGCCAGTGCCGGTCTTGCAGGCCTGGCCCGGAACCCTCTGCTCCCACCCTCGTGCTCCATAGGAATGATCACCGCGTCTGTGCCGAGCCCCGTGGCTGGCGGGCGCACGTTCAGCAGTCCGGTGCTGCGCGACTTGAGGCGTTCCTGATCCGGCCTGCCGGCCGCCGATGTGGGCGTGTTCGCGTAGCTGGGCGTGGCGTGCAGCGACTGCGAGTCGCTCTGGGCCAGCACCGTGCTGACGGTCACGTTGGCACTGTCCTCCGAGGTGTTTTGGCGGGAGAAGTAGCGCGAGTAGGCCGCCCCCTCGAATTCGCTGGCCCCAGCGCCCATGCCGGCGCTGTCCGTGCAGGAGATTTGCTTGGGCAGCAGCCGCTTGCGTTGTGGCAGCAGCACAGGTGCCGGAGCGGGAGCGGAAGGAGTCTCAATCTCCACGGCCACGTGCGGCGGCGGCGCGGGCGGAGGCTGCATGGCCAGACTGGAGGGAACGTTGATGTGCAGGCGCTGTGGAGACAGAAACAGACAGAGATTAGTGGGAGGAGCAGCAGCCACGGGGGCAGAGCAGTACTCACCGCTTGCTGGGGTGCCTGCAGCGGGAACGAGCGCACCACATGCCTCGGGAAGATGGGACTGCACTGGGCACTGATCGACTTGGCCTCCAGGATGCGCAGTCGCTTGGCCAGTCGCATCCGCTCCCGTGTGTCCGCATCGAGGCCGGCAACGGCGATGATCTCGGCGCCCCCAAAGCTGACGGTGCAGCGGGAGCTGGAGTAGGAGAGGCTCTCAATGCTGCCGCGCAGCGAGGCGGTCAGACTGTCGTCCGCCAGGGTGGAGCTGTGCACGACGCCCCCACGCTCCGCAGTTATCACCGTGGCAGTTGCTGTGGCAGTCGTCGAGGTATTATCATAGCCGGAGCCAACCGGCGGCAGTAGTTCAGACTCGCCGTTGCTCGTTGTGGAATGTTTGGCCGGGCGGACAGCCGTCCGTAGCCTGTCGTCCTCCTCGTCCTCTGAGCTGCCGGATCGCCGCGGCAGGTCCACCTTGGCCGGGGTGTGCGTGTGGGTCTGGGCATGGACCAGGAGGCTGTGGCTGTGCCTGGCCTGGCGGCCCGGCTCCGGGCCCGACGAGGTGCTCAGCGAGTTGCTGGCCAGGCTATCCTCCAACGGTTCCACGTGGTTCTTCCCGTGGAAACGCAGCGAGCTGTCCACCGAACCCGAGGCCACTTCGATGTCATCCTGCGGCTTGCCCCTGCCCTTTGGTTTTGTTTTTGCTTTGGTTGTAGCTGTGGCTGTTGCCGATGGCATTTGTGGCTCCTCCGCGGCTGCTGCGACTGAGTCCTCCTCCCGGCTGCCCCGTCGACCGCCGCCGAAGAGCTTGCGGGGCAGAAAGATGCGGCCAATGGACTTTCGCTTCTTGGCCCGCTTGGCCCTCTTGTGCTCCTCGTAGTCGCGCTTGAGGGCCTGCATCTTGTGCTCCACCAAAGTGCTGAACACCGCCTCATAGGTGAGGGCGCGCTGCAGGTCCAGCAGGATGTCGTTGGTGGAGACGGCCTTGTCTATCTTTGTGAGGAGTCGCAGCGACTCCTGGCCCCCACCGTTCCCACTCGCGCCACTGTTGCCATCCTCCGCGTCCGCCATGATGCGGCTGCGGCTGGGGGTGGGCGCCTCTGCGTTGCGTCTCCGTCTCCTCAATGGGTGGTGGCCGCTCGCTCTGGTTGCTGCTGTTGCTGTGGCACTTGTTTGCGACTATTTGCATCCTCCTCGACGCGCTGACGTTGACGTTCTCGTTGACACGTTGATCGGTTTGTCCTCGAGCTGTGCCTGTGACTGCTCCCACTGCTGCCACCCGTCATCTGGCTGGGGTATGGTATCCTGGAGTGGCGCCACTGTCACCGTCGGCAGCACCGCATCTCCTCCTCGTGTCCCTTTTCTATTTGCAGTTTGCCTTTTGCTTTCTTTTTTCGTCAATTGCCTGTTCAATGGAGATTCCCTTTTGTGTGTCACGATGGCTTCACAAGTGGCGCTTACCGGCAACGGCTGCAGCACGGCACCTGGAACCTGCAACAACGGCAACAAGATATTAGATTCACCAATTCAACGACTCAATAGACAATCATCCCATCCCCATCCCCCATTCCATACCAATCCACTGTCTCTGCCACTCCCAGACCCACTTCCATCCCATCAATAGTCAAGGCCGCACGAGGAGCACAAGGGGGGGGGCCAATAGTTTTGCTCACTTCTCTGGCTCTGGCTCTGGCTGTGGCTCTGGCTGTGTCTCTGGGTCTGTGGCTGGGGCTCGCGTCTGCCTCCATTATTCATGAGTGTAACAGATTTCTACTTGTTGCACGCACACCTCTCCCATCACACACACACACACACACATAGAGAGTGTGGGAGATAGCAGCACTCACACAACGTCATATGTACATACGCATTAAGGCCCATTCTCCGTTGAGTGCTGCTCAGTGCTGGGCGAATATTCTTGGCATTTTTCCAGCAGACCAAAAGGTGGCAAATACTTCAGAGATTTGAAAGTATTTCCGTTGAAATTTAAACGTGTTTTAAATTACTTTCTATCCGATTCGAAGCATAACAATTTCCTATTTGTTTCGGAACGAGTCCATCAATCATGACTGAAATACACCATCATTCAATCGCAAATTAAATCAGTCTATTGACCAGGCACTAAATCTTCCGATTTAGAGAACTGTTGAGTTTATTGTACTCCCAATTTCGATGCCAAAAGAGTAAATCTAAAGCTCCTTCGAAAGATAAATGGCGGCAAAAGGAAAGCCAAGCGGGCATCACTGAGTGAGCAAGGGGACTGCTGTGTGTCAGTGTGGCTTGGTGGGGGGTGGGTGGTTTTGGTAGTATCAATAACGAAGCTGAATCTGGGCTTACCGCCTTCCACTCCCTCTCTTTGTTTGTTTGTGTGTGTGTGTGTTTTATCTGGTGTGTGCGCCCTGCCCCAGTCCTGCTCTGCTCTGCTCTGTGTATTCTGATGCCTAGGGGAGCGTGTGCCGGCGACAGGTCTCCCTTATGGCCTCCATTGCGCTTTCTACGGCCCTTCATATGCAATATATAGTCATACATTCATATAAAAAGAAATATATGTATGTCTGTCTGCTGCCAAATAAAAACCAACAATGGAAATGGATATAGTTTTCATTTCCGCAGTTCATAGTCAGAGCCGTAACGTAGCCGTAGCCGTAACCGTTGTCGTAGTCGTTGCCATTGCCATTGCATGGTGTGCCGTTAACGTAAACGTAGTCGTTGTCGTGCTCGTTGTTGCTCGGCGCAGTCATGTTCATGCATTTCATGCAAATGACACACAAAAGGGACGCCACAATGGGTGCTGGTGCCGCCATCAACAGCAGCAGCAGCAGCACCAGCAGGCGCAACAGCAGCAGCAAAGGAGAGATGATTAAATGCAAAATACGAGTAGGAACACATAAAATGGCAAAAGAACATGTCCAAGGCGGGGCTTTTGCTGTACCCCCCACCAAGGTGTGGCATGCCGCCCCTCTAAATACCATGTGGCAGTGGCTAATTAAACGATACGGCTGAGTAATAGAAAAAGTTTGAAGCCGCCAGTTTGCATAAATTTCCGTTAGCTGAATTAACAGCACAAGTTTCAGCCACAGAACCATCCATATCCTCACACACAGAACACACTGAGAGAAATAGACGAGCGGAAATCTAATATTCATAGTTGATCCCATTGGGATTAGGGGAGCTAAGCTGTAAGCCATTTTGGGGGGGCCAGAGAGCAATCAGAGCCAATTTAAATTGTAGAAAAGTCGGGTGTGTTGACAGGGAAAATTCTTGTAATAATAATTTTTGGTATGCGCATAGCAGAAGCGTCTTATCTCTACTCTAAACAGAGTATCAGGCGCCCTAAAACAATGTCTAGGCAAATGAAAGAGAAACGAAGAGGTAAAAGTAAGCAGCGTATGGGAGAAGGAGAGAGTTTACACAGAGAGTTTACATAAATTCGAACCAGAAGCACATTAGTTGTGTTGTTCCAATGTAGATTTCCACCAAGAAACGATTTTGAGCAAATCTGAGACTGAGAACTAGTAGCACTGTAAGGGGGGAGCTCACCTTGATTAAATACAGCTTGCCATCAGCCAGGGCCGCCACGCCACTGCTGCTGCCCGTTCCGTCCCCCGCAGCCTCTCTCAGGCAATCCAAAAATAAATCATTCGAGGACATAAAGAGAAGCCAGGCAAAAATTATAACTGTTGCTGCAGTCGCACATGTAAATAACAGTTAACAGCGGCAACAGCTGTCGTTCCTCTGCTGGCGTCAACTGAGGCAGCGACAGAACAGAGAACGTACGATGCTCAACAGTTGTGCAGAAGCAGAGAACGGGAGCGCAACAGAGCAAGAGAGAGAGAGCTGCGCTGTTTCTGTTAACTCGCGCCTATTTGCCCTGTTAATGTTAATGTTGCGCCTGCTGCTGCTGCTTGTTGCTTCTTACTGTAAACATGTTATCTCGTGTCTGTTCCATTTTCTCTTTCTATGTGTGTGTGTGTGTGTGTGTGTGCCTGCTTCGAGGGGTACAACGGAACTTTTTAGCCAAGTAGTTGACAGTTTTTGTCCATTAAACTTATGCGATTGTATTTTATAGTTTGTACGAGTAGTTTTGCCTGTAAAGTTTGCTGTTGTGCCTTCTTCTGGTGTCAATGACAGGCAGAACAGATGGCTCGTAATTGCACCGGGCACTATGCAAATTAGCTTGTAGTTGATGGCTATACAACTGTAACGGGGAGATTACATTTATCTGACAAATAATATCTGTACTTGAAATTAGGTTTCAAGGTTTCCCTGCATTTAGAACTATGTAATTTTCGTTTCACGGACATGCAATAAACCAAATCCAACAGCACAGTAATCGTTATCTCCCGGACACCCATGTCGCATACGTGATAATAAAGCACAAAATTCCGCATCCGCCGCGTTGGCCTCGCCGCTTTCCTGCCACACTCAGCACAGAGTGTGGCACTCCACACAGTCCAGCCATAAATATGTGCATACATATATAATTGTTAATAATTTCGCAGTACAATTACCCGCGCTCAAATCAAGAATGGAATAGTAAATGCAAATGCCCGGAGCTGCAGTCAGCGGCGGAATTGTAGCGGGGGAGGGGCAAAGAGGAGTGGAGAGTGGAGCTGAATTCGGCGCTTAAATTTAATCAACTTTCCGTTAGGTTGGTCGGTGCCGATGCCGATGCCGATGCCCGAAACCAGCTTCAGCTTCAGCACCGACAACGACACCGACACCAATGCCCGATGCTCTCGTCCTAAGGGGGGTGGTGTGGGGGGGTTGTTCAATTATTGACGCTCCCACTCGCTGCTGACGCTGTCCTTCGCAGATATGTAGGTGGGTGGGTATGTGTGCTGGCCGACAAAATAAAAGACAGAGCAAAACAACAACAGACGACCAAAACCCGCAACACACACAGAAAAGCCGGAGTGGCAAATAAAACATGCACATGGCTTAAAACACATGACACCGAAACGAGAGTGGTCCGAAAGCTGAAAGCCGAGAAGAGTTCCCTTTTCATTTTCTGCTCCTCTGCTGCGCGCTCCACAGTTTCGTGTCTCATTTTGCAGTGGCACGACCCTTGAAATTAGAGTTCTGAAATGTTGTTTTTTTTTGTTGTTTCTTTTTTGTAGAGGTTGTCCATTGGCGTGTACAAGAACGACACACATACGAATGAGTCCTTGGCCGCAACGAGCTCTGCTGTGGGCCTGCTACTGCTGCGGCTCCTGCTCCCAACCTCTCGGCTGTACGCGACCTCAGAAAAGTGCAGCAACGACAGCAACAGAAGGAGCAGCGTGGCATCCCAACAGCCCAACAGCCCAGCAGCCATCAACGTGTCAGATAATTAGTGAAAACTGTCTGTGAAGAAATGTCTGTCTGTCGCCAGGTCCAAGGGTCCGCAGCAACATCTACATTCACATTCACATCCACAGCCACAGCCACATCAACATCCACATCTATGTGTCCACGTCCAGTGGCAATGCCACGCTATGCAAACCAAAGCCATGCACCATGGGTGGCAGTGGCAAGCGATGCTCATCAATTTGAAAGACAAATGAAAAGTAACTTTTCGCGGGCTCTTGATCAGCTTTGACTGTAAGCGGAAAGACACTTTCATTCCCTTTTGGATCTTACTTTTCCTCATTTGATCATAGAAATCATAGAAATTTAAGCACGCATTGTCTGCTTCGATCCCATGGTGCGACATGCCATGCCTTTGGCCCAGATGAGACGCCGTCTGAAATGCAGGATGACAGTTTTACGACACACATACAATGGCACACTCGCACACATACGCATGCATATTCAGGACCCTGCCCTGTCCTGGTCCTGCCCTGTCCTGCGTATCTGTGCATCTCTGGCGCGTGTGCTGTGGCATGCAGTTGTCACTACTGTTACATCCGTGCTGTGACAACCGTAGACATTGCTGCCGTTGCTGTTGCCGTTGTCGTTGCTGCTGCTGCTGCCTCGTGTGGATGCTCTGGCTCAAGTTCAAATATGAGCTGTCTGCTGGCAGGCAAGGGATCTCCTCTGGCGTCTGCCCATCGCACCACACCACCCATCGTTTGGCCTTGAACTTTGACCCAACACGAATTGGATCAATTTCGGATCATTGGCGTAGCGAGTTATACGAATGGCCGCCCCCCTGGGGAATGCGTCGCACGCGGTTTGTTTATTTATCCAAGTCGTCAGCTCGTATTTATAGACGTTTCACAATCGGATCAGAGCAGGCACATCAATCAGTCTGGTCTGTGATTCCCAGCCACCCACAGCCCACCCCACATTTACCCCCTCCTATGCCAACACCAACCTTGGTTCATCGGCACAAATCAAACTATCAAATGGTTTCGGGTGTTGTGTTTTTCCTTTTTCCTTTTTGGTCTTGAAGCTTGATATAAACATGGTATCTCTGGGACTAAATATTTACACGTCGCTCTGCTGTTTTCATTTGGTATTTGGTTTGCCGCTTCGCCTTGCGGCTCCTGACACAGCTCCCCCTGCCG